ACAAAGTTTCTCTATTAACATCTTACATTGATTTGATTCATTGTTTCAAATGATGAATGAATGTTGATATGTTAAGTCCATAGTTTAGAGTATACACTCTTTGTATCAGTTTTCCTCCTGCCCCCAGAAAGAAAACAGTAGGATGAGTATTCTGAAGAGGAAAACAGCTTTGGGGAAGTGAATGAAAGAAGGAAGACTTGGTAGTTTGTATAGGGCTTGTTAGGGTTGCTACATGAACATATTTAGTTGCACATGTTTCTTTGCTGAAAGAACAGCTATAGAAAGTGGGAAATTAGTGATTTTTTTTAAACTAGGGGAAATGAACCTCTCATTCAACAAATGTTCATTGAGCATCTCACTACAAGCCCATGAGATTCTAGATCCTAGAAGTATAGGATGAATAAAATGGCTAACTTTCCTGTGTTGTGTACAGAAGACACCTGTAGTAAACTGATAACCCAAAAGCAAAATGACAGAAAAACAAGTCTCAGGAAGCAGGATTACAGTGAGAGGAGAAATTGAGGACAGGGGGGTACTGTTCCTATTAGGTAAGAAAAGACACCTCTGAAGAGGCAGTGAGGCTCTAGAATAGAATGAAATGTAGCTGGGGGGATAAGAATTGGACTCTGGCCTTTTGCAAATGTACACATGTACTAAGCTTGAATTTAATACTTCATGTAACAGAAGTGTTCCCATCCAATAGTTCTCACCATTCATACTTATTACATGCCTAAGGGTATAAATTTGTGCTAAAAAATTAGTTTCTTCATTTTAAAATCTTAAAATTCCTATCAAAGCTCACCCCCACCATGGTCATTATACTTTGGTACTTTATCCTTCTCTCTGACCTGCTTCAAACCACCTTCCTGCTGGAGACTCTCTGTCACCTTTGTCAGGAGTGGATTCCCTGGGACTAGTCCTTAGGAGTGCTGTCACCTTACTTGACCTTAAAGGGTTTTATTCACTGCTTAACAGATACCATAGATTGTCATCCTCTTTAATTCTTCAATCCCTCTGGGGCAGGTGTCATATTTGACAGTCTGTGAAACCTCTGGAAGGGATCTTCCATACCTAATCATTCTCAGACATTGGATTTAAACTCTTATTTTTGACACTTCAAATTCTTGATATTTAATAACACCTATAATTTGCTTCACGCCCAGTGAGATATAAGTAACTTTGTCCAGTTTGTGTCACAAAGGTAAATATGTGATGTCTTAGTTCTTTTTTATTCTGGCTGACAGTTCAGTGTACATCCTGCCAGGGAAATGCAAGCAGCATGGTGGTAACACATCATCCACAATCAGGAAACAGAAGGGAGAACACAAGCTAGAGCTCACTTTCTCAATGCTCTGCAATCTAGGAGTCTCTGCCCAAGGAATGAGGCCACCACAGTTAAGATGGCTCTTCCCACATCAGTTAATGTAATAAGGTCATTCCTCACAGGCGTGCCCAGAGGCCTATTTCCTAGGTAATCTAAATTCTGCCAACAGTTGACAGCACTAATGATCACAGGTGGAAGGGGAAGCTGAGGAAGCTGAGGGTTCTGGGTCCTAAACACTGGATTCTCATTGTGACTGAAATCCAGGTTCTTAAACTGTGGTGCTTTGTGACTGAATGAGAGGGGGGAGAACTAAAATATTTGTAGCAGTCGAAACTTTCTGGGGGTTGGAGAGATGGCCTTGTGCTTAAGAACATACTGCTCCTGCAGAGGATTTGAATTTAGTTCCAATCAACCAGATCAGGCGGCTCACAGCTTCTCGGAACTCCAGGTCCAGGAAATCCAACACTTGTGGCTTCTGTAGGAACCTACATTCACGCATATACTCACATAGGATGAAGAAAAGTTCAGAATCAAATGTGTAATGAATCCAAGGTGTTTCTGGCAGTACCTGCCCATCTGCATGCCAGCCTCACTGCAGCCTTGGTTTCTAATACAACCTGCTTTCTGTCCCTTGTGCACACCAGCACTTAACACAGTAACCTCAAACTCTGCCCAAAACACCTTGGCTAAGATTGAAGACTGTTGCGATGCTGTGCTTAAGTTTGGTTTCCTGAGCTTAACTACAGAAAACAAAGATTTAATATTTCCCTTTCATTTCTCAGCATGTAAGTATCAAATTAGTAAACGTTGGATGTATTGTTAGAATGACTGGTTTTAAAAACTGTTGCTTGTGGCTGAGTGTGGTGGTACACACCTTTAATGCCAGTGCTTGGGAAGCCAGTGGCATGCAAACATCTGAGAGTTCAGGCCAGCCAAAGTTACTATATCGAGACCCTGTATTTAAAAATAAAATAAATTTATTTTAAAAATGTATCTTTAAAAGTAAATTTAATAAATTTTATTTTTAGGTTAAACATATTTAAATGATTCTGTGGATTAATTGCTGAATAGTGTAAACCCGATGGTTTTCTGTTTTTAACTGTGCATAGTAGAGCATTGAAGAATCTGAAAACATTTCACTGCTGAAAAGAATTCTTGAATTAGAATAATAAAATTCTTACTGGAACCTGGCACACATTTTTTCTTAATGGAAGGAGTGGGAACTTTTATGTTGTTTGTTTTGTGTGTTATTAGCAGTATACCTTTTTGGAGAAGGTAATTACATGCTGCACTTACAAATATTGGGTTACAGTGAGAAGAGTCTGAGAATCCTACTAGTTTTCCTGTGATTCAGAAGTTAGTTTTTCCCCAAGACATTTCCTGGCTTACATACTGTAAGCTTTCTGAAATGTTGTGTAATTAAGTGTTGAGATTCTGAAATTACTATTTGGTTTGTTCTTTACTGAGTCACAATCTAATCACAACTTCTGAGTGCTGGTGACACAGCAGCAGAGGGCATGAAACCTTTTCTAATGTGTGCAGAAGCACATACCATTCCTGGTGCACGGCATTCAGCTTTACAGAAGATGAGTTCTAGGGTTACTGTGTGTTTGCTTTGAGTTTTAATGTATGCCATCAGAAAGCCTTTAAAAAAGTAGGGTTAGTTTCGAAGAGGATTATAGATTGTAAGGTGCTTAGGAACCGTACAATGTTTTGAAGTGTCTATTCAGCACTTACTGATGTTATTAACTACTGTTATTTTGTGGGGTGGTAGCATATAGGTTTGTGGCAACCTATAGGGCGTCTAGAAATGAACTAACAGTGATGATTTTCAGCTTTCCCAGGGTTCTTCTCAGCGAACTGGAACAGTTAATCCTTTCTTAGTCAAGGTTCTTTTAAGTAACAGAACCTATACAATGAATCTCTCTCATTTACATTTGTATATAGAATTTTTATATATTTTTGTACAGAAGGTCTGAGAATCCAGTAGTTGTTCAGTTCATGAGGCTGGATGTCTCAATTGGTCTTTAGTATATACCAGAATCCTGGAAAAGTAGACTCTCAATGTGTGAGAAAGCAAGCAGGCAGATTGAAAGCTTCCTTCTTCCATGTTCTTTATGTAGACTGCCAGCAGAAGATGTGGCCCAGATTAAAGGTGGATCTTCCCACCTCAAAGAACCAGATCAGAAGTGAGCCTTCTTACTCAAATTATTTAAGAAAAAAATCTCCCACAGGCGTGCCCAGCCATTTGACTTTTAGTTAATATCATTGTAGTCAAGTTGACAATCAAGAAAATCCATCACACTTGTAGTGACATGACCTACACTGCCTTGAGTTTCAGAGTATAGGTGAGGGAAACACGTGTACCTCTTCCCAGCCTTCCTAACCTGTGTTAATATGCCTTCCCTGACCTGTGCTCATGATGACAGAAGCCCAAGAACCTCTGTAGTAGGAAGTGTGTTCCTTCATCTCACCCCCTCATCCCTAAGTCATCTTCTACTGCTCAAGCACATTCCTTCCCGGCTCATTTCTTTGTAATGCCTTCCTTAAAATGAAGCTGGTGAGTGAGGAAGGGTTGGGGCAGTTTAGAGGTTTAGTAGCACCTTGGTTTGAAAGGTTTTCTGAAAGCTTGAAAAAAAGTGCCATTAGCCATTAGTGTGGTAAATAGGGCCCATTTTTGCACATTCCTGATAATGTTGGGAACTTGCTTATTTGACCATGTTAATTTGTGGCACCAGATATAAATTATGGAATATTTTGTGGTTTTGTTGTGGTGGGTGTTTTTTGTAGTTGGTAGTGGTGATACTATTTGGTTTGGTTTGATATCTCTATTTTTTCTTGGATCAGTTCTTTATATTTTAAATGTAATTTATTGGTGCAATTCTTAAAATCAATTTTTAAAATCAAACTTTAAAGTAAAACAATCCAAAATAGACTAATTTGACATTTATATGCTGTGGAATACTAATAGGAAAATACTAAAGTTTTAGTTTTCTATACTAAAGCCATTGTTTTGAGAGAAGAAGAAAACTTTGTATGGTAATGAACGCTCTGCAGCATCATACATAGTTGTGTTCATTAGCTCCATGGTTCATTAGTCATGCAATGGTGAGTTCAATGCAGAGAAAAATGTGTGTTCCAAACCAAGGCTGCTGTGAAGTCATGTGACCCAAACAGGCAAATACTACCAGGAAATCTTGCTTCATTATTCATTTGATTCTTAATTTTTGGTAGTTGCCATTCAGAAACTTTTCACTGTTGCCAATTTTTTTTTTTGATCTCCACACTTATTTATGTAACCCTATGTGTCATCATGGCCCACAGTTTAAGAAACTGTACTTCAAAGAAAACAGCAACTTATATATATATATTCCTCCAAAAGAATGAAGCTTACCTGTTTGTACTTTCTCCTCATTTCCATTAGTAAAGTTATGCCCTTTATTTTTATTTCTGGTTTTAGTTACCTGGCTTTGATATGCCAGCGTCTTTTATAAATGACCTGATCTGTAAAGGTAGTACCTCTTTTGTACTTCATTCCATCTGGAGCAGTAAATTGGACCTGGTGAGAGGTACGTGTAGACTTAGAGGTCTGGACATAGTTGGACAGTCCATCTGGAAGGAATATAGGTGTTTTCTGTGGGACTTATTATAATCTTTACCTTTTTATGTTTTATAGAAATAAATGTCTTTCCTTAATTGATGAAAATGAAAATACAGAAGAAAGAGAAGCAAGTAAGTGGTCCCATTTCTTTTAAGTGTTGTTCGTTGCTACAGAGGATAGGCTGTGCCTCACATTTTAATCTCTCACGGACGGTTGCCTGTTGCTTGTGCTCTTCATTCTTTACAGAAGGACAGAGCTCTGAGTGACTAGTGCATGGAGCTTCCCTTTTGCTTCAGTCATGCCCATATAGGAGCAGTGTAGTTAAACTGAATCAGAACATTAAACATTAGTCTGGTGGGAACGCTTCCTCTCAGACCAGCTCTTCATATTTTTCTGAGTTATGTGACCAATTCTCTATAGTTTATATATTAATCATTTTTGGATATTTAGTTTGCTAAAAGTATTTTTCCCCTTTGTGTCTGTGTCTGTGTGCGTGTGTGTGTATACCTGATGTTTGTGTAGGCAGGTGTAGTTTATGAGTAGGTTATGTGTAGCGGTCAGAGGACAAGTTTGTGGAGTCATTTCTTATCTTCCACCTTTCTGGGGAGCTTTGGGGCGTCAAACTCAAGCTCAGGTCGCCAGGCAAACTCAACAATCGCCTTCACTCACTGAGACACCTCACTAGCCCTAGAAGTATTCTTTTAACTATAAACTAATTAAAACTGTGGCCAGTGTGACTCACCAGTACCAGTGTGGCTGGGAGATGTAAAAGATGTGTCTCTGCCTCTTACACAGTCTGTCTATAATACATGGCCTTTCTTTTTTATAGAATTGGATGATCATCTAGAAACCGGGTTTGGGGAGTAGAGTCAGGGGGTCTGAATTCTGTCTTGAGTTGGGACCCATGCAAGTTAAGGGTTGGGTGGGACTGGTCACTCTTTCTTTTCCAGTCTCCTCCTTTGGGATCCTATATAGGGAAATGTAGGATACCAGAAAGCCTACCCTCTAGGTGGCCCTTGTTGGGGAGCTTGACCTGGAGAAATTATTCTCATCTGTATCAGTTCTCATAGGAAAAGTAGTGCTTCTACCTAAACATTGGATTTCTCTTTCAGTTGGTAGTAAGCACCACAGAAAACTTCTACCTGCCATGTATCCTAAGGTAGACTCTGACATATGTCCAAAAAGAACATGAACTAGAAATGAATACTGGAGATAAAACAGTCTGTAGTCATACAGTTTAGGGATGTATAGGAAGGGCTTTGGTTTTCATAGAATGAGATTAAAATTCCCACTGAACCACTTAGGATCTTGAAGCAAGTTTAGCCTCATTTTTCACTGTGTAGAAAAGGATTAAATGAGATAGTTAAATACTTAGTATTTGATATGTCAAAGCAAGAAAATCTTTAGTGTATTATATCATTAGTGTGACTAGCGATCAAGCTAACTTTAACCATGATTCTGAAATGTTGGAAGCAACACAGAATAGTAGGCTCAGGATGTAACTCCGAGGTGGAACACTTGCTTGGCTTGGATAATCCCCAGCATTCGAGAAAGAAGCAAGGAGGAGGGAAAACCTGTTTTAAAAACATCCATTCTTGTTTTTAAAAAAATCCTCATCCCTTCTAGTTCATTTTTCCACTTCTTTGAAGAAAAATGCACATAAATGCATTTTGATTTTTAAATTTTCTCCTTTCCTTGTTCAGAATTTTATCAAGGAAATTTAAAATGAGGTGACAGATTTTTTTTTACAAGTTAATCAAAATCTAGCAATAAATAATCAAGCTTCTTATTAACCAGAAGGAGCATAACAGGTGGCATGTCAATAATGAAGGCTTTAAAAATTGACTTTGTTGCCAAAGGAAATGTTGGGGAAAAAAAAAAAAAAAGACTGGTGTACTTTAGTAATCTAGATCGATTAATCCAGTTTTAAAATATAATACTAAAACTTGGAGCCATAATCAGGAGATATTATAGACCAGATGACTTTGGGAGGACCTTACTTCCATGAGTAAGTACTGAGCAGGCATAGCTGTCATTTTCTGTCCCTGAGAAAACACAAAGGTGATAGAATCGGGAGGAGTAATTCAGAGAGCAATGGGAATCGCAGACTGTGAGACCATTAGACCATGTTTTCTTCCTTGGATGAATGTGGACATGACTCATTCAGTAAACACATATTGCTGAGTTTTCCACATTTCTGCAAGAAGTATTTAAGTTTCACTTCAGGCCAGATGCAGCAGTGACTTAAATGTTCTTCTAAAGAAATACATAGTCTGATTACAGAGAGGCAGTTGAAATAGAGAAGGGCACATGATTCAAAAGAACCAGGATTTTACAGTGTGGATGGCAGGGTGGTAGTCTGGTGTTAAATATAGAGACACAGGTAATATCAGCCCCCCCAAAGGACTTAAAGTATTTTAGAAAGAACAGGGCCTCTGGGGTCAGCCAAGTTGTGTGAAAGAACCAACATGGAAGGAAAGAGTAAGCGTAGGCAGGTTCAGGAAGTACCTAGGAGTAAGGGACAAAAGGGTGGCCTAGAGTGGAGTGCTCAGTTTTTGTGGTGGCAAAAGGTGAACTAGAATAAGTAGTAGGTTTAGCTGGCTGCCGTGTTCCTAGCACAGTTTTTGTCCTCTCAGAGGGAAAGGTGAGTTCAGATCTCTAGGAAGGTGTTTACCACCAGAATACATTGCTGGATCATAAGCCCTGGTTGAAAATAGTGAGTGAGGAAGACTACCAGATAATGTGGATGAGTAAACAATTGACGGTGAGACTTTTCAGCAGCATTTGACAGAGAGCAAGGCTGACACCAGACAGACTTTCAGTTGCTTTTCTGGAAGACTCTTTTCAGAATTTCAGTTTGGCAGTTTAAAACATTGTCTTCATGAATCAAAAGGATTTAAAATGGACTTTCTCCAACTCCTTCCTCTGAGCACAAGATTCTTCCTTTGTGTCTTAATATACCGACCTTTACAGGACACTCCCTGCCCCACACATGCATGCACAATCGTTCTATTGATTTTGTATCTGAAATATGCACTTGAGGTCAGAATAAAGGCCTGAATAGTAAAAGAAGGTAGACTCATTGCCTATGAGGTACACAAATGAAGCAGGACACTCTAGCGCCAGGGTGAAGACTTCTGGGCCTCTTGAGAGGGAAGTGAGGTCTGTCTGTTGATGGACTCACTGACAAGAATGGACCAAGTTGGCCCTCTTCAGATCAGATCCTGGGCTCTCCTGGTCTCTTGGCTTGGCTTCTCTGTCCTTGCTTCTCTTTGTGCCCTCTTGCTTCTCTGCCCCCCCCCCCCCCCCGTTTTTCTTCTAGATCTTCTTGACTCCAGTACCTCTGCCTCCACTATCCTCCATCCATTATGGGACATCAGTGACATAGGAAAAAGTTTATCAGCTTCCTCGTCAGCAGTACACATGTATGCATACATACCGTGTGTGTACATTTTTCCTTTAACCTAGGCTTTTGCCTGTGATAATGTACTAAATGGACTTTTCTTAATTTGAGAACCATTGCCTTGGACTGTAATTGTTTCATTTGTTTTGACCCTTTTGAATTAATCCTCTAGATTTAACTTTTTCGAGGAGTGTTGTGGCTTAATGAGTTAGATCAAAGGAGCACCACTTGTTTTCTGTTTTTTTTTTTTTAACAGCCCCTTTTTGTTTCTGTTTTTACCCTGTTCCTAGACTCTTGCCCCTATTTAAGTTGGTGATATGAAGCAAATTATTGTTGGTCCCTTGTGGTCTACCATCTCTAAAGTTGTTCCTGTTATAGCCATTTCAAAGTGGAGATACTGACATCTGATTTTGTTCTGGGGCTTTTTGTCTCAGAAGAGACAAACATGAAAGAAATGTTTTTGTATTGCTTTTTTTTTTTTTCCTCCTCAGGAATCTTTTCCAAGTTCCCAACATAAAAAATGCTTCCATGTATTAACCCCAAAATTTAAATTAAAAATTTTTTTGTTTACTAATACTCACCACTTCCCCTTTCAACATCAGATAATTGTGCTTCCCCCTTTAGAAAGCACTAGTTCTGTCACTTGAGGAGTTTAGCCTTGACAAGTTGTTTTATTTCTTATCTGTAAAAATAATAATTAGTGTGTGTAGGGGTGGGTTGGGGATTGTTCCCTGATAATTATCTATGATTCCTGGTAGCGGAACTTTGTAGATAGCAGGTAGGTATATATATTTAGCAAAGACTACCTGACCTTTCCCAAAGCAATGTATATACTCATATTTAACATGTTTAATCAAGTCTCATCTGGCTTGGCCTGGTGACCTAATAACCTGTTATGGTTCCCTGGGTAGTCATGAAAATATACATTAGTGTTTGTCAGATTTCAAATCTACAGTTGTCTGCTCACTAGCTGTATGGTCCGGGGACATTCTTACAATCTCCACTCCCACTTCTCCCTCTATAGACTGGGCACCTTCACACTTACCTTGTTAGATGGTTGTAGAGGTTCCAAATGAGGCCCTGTGCCTTATGTCATCCTAGTATCTCTGTATGACCTTGTGCACTGAACGTTAGCACTGCTGTAGTTATTTTCTCTGGACTTAATTCTATTTGCTACTGCTTACCTCCATCTTTGAAAAGACTTCTGCATGAGTAAAGAGACCTTGTCATGACAGTCTCACTCTGACCTAGAATAAACTATCTTGGTGAGCCGGATGGTGGTGGTGCACGCCTTTAATCCCAGCACTTGGGAGGCAGAGGCAGGCAGATTTCTGAGTTCGAGAGTCAGAGGCTAGCCTGGTCTACAGAGTGAGTTCCAGGACAGCCAGGACTGCACAGAGAAACCCTGTCTCAAAAACAAAAACAGAAAAAACAAAACAAAACAAAAAAACTATCTTGGTGAAATTTAGTCTTTGAGGCTTTGAAAGCCTCATTAATAAGCAAATTACTTTTCAGTTTATCCCCCTTAAAAATGTATTTTATTTTCGCACATACATAATGGTTTTTGGTCAAAGTCTTCTCCATTATTCTCTCTTATCCCTTCCCCATCCCATCTAAGTCGTCCTCCTATGTTCAGCTATGATTTCCTTTTCCTCTTTTAAGTTTGGATTGCCTGAATGAGTGCAAATAGGAGTTTATTTACTTGAACAAATATAATGCACTAGTGACTATACCACTACCAGCAGCCATGGAGTGGGGGTGGGGCTTATTCAAGCAAGTAGCTACCACTGCTGTGAATTCATGGGTACAGGAGCTGTGTGTCATGTCTAGAAGATTGTTTTATGTTATTGTTCTCCATCCTTCAACTCTTAAATTGTTTCTGCTCCCATTTCTGAGCTCTTTCCCGAGCCTCACAGGAGGTGATGTAGCTGTTCTGTTGGGGCTGAATACTGAACAGTCCTAGTTTGCCCGTTGTTGCACACTAAGAAAACGTGATTTCTAAGGCCCAGGTGTCTGTGACATGGAATGCTCCCAGGACAAGCACATAGAATCTTCCTTTCTTAAAGCACTGAGTCTTATAAGAACAGCTGTTACCCACAGGATTTAAGTTAGTTTATTAGAAGGACTTCACTTACTGTAAAGATCCAAAAGAAAAACCTTTCTTTTCTTTGTTGTTTTTCTCCAGTAATCTCAAGTGCTATGCTTTGAGCCTTGGACTAGGAAAGGGCACTAGAAAAAGCAGACAGGGTAACATGAGGCCGAATTTGCAGTGTTTTTATTCCCAGTGTGGGCCAGGAAGTGTGGGTACAGCTTGGGGAACCAGAATACTGTAGGGAAGCCACAACCACCTGGGCAAGTATTTGTGGATTATAACTTGCTAGTTAATAGGAGGGCAAGCACTCACAAATGGCGCTGTTTCGGAACTATCACCAGAATGCAATTTTACCATCTTCCTGGAAAGTTCCCCTAGGTCATTCTTTGTTCTAGATTGAGGAGTAGTGCTGTCCTTGGAGCTAGCACCCACATTATTATCATACCATTGCCAGTTTACCTCGGTTATGAAATGGCAAGTACTTTTTGGAATACCAGACTGAAAGTATAAGATGAACTTCTACCTCCAAAGAATTGTTTCCTTAAAATTCACTGAGAGACTGTGCTTATATTGTACTCAGAAATGGCTTTGAAATTCTTTTTTTGGTGCTACATTAGCTCCCTCCTGTGACACACTTCTTCTGGCATCTGTCACAGGAAAGTTTCTTCCTATTTGGGTAGTTTGATTTTCACAAGTGGCCAAAGGTATTTGGGATTGAGTTGAGTAGCATTCAGTGACATTCATAACAGGCCTAGTTTTGCTTATAGTCAAAAGTAAAACTGTGGGTCAGCAAGATGGCTCAGCAGATAAAGGCATTTGACACCAATGCTGACAATCTGAGTTTAGTCCCCAGGAGCCACATTTCCACAACTAAAACTTGAAATGATCATACTTGTTCAGAGTCAGCCCACCTCAGTGTTGATGCTTCTTGGTGACTGATGAGAATGGGTTTTGAGAGGTGAAGCAGTGTAAGCATCTTGTCTTCTCACCCCAGGAACTTACCTTAGTTCACAGCAGAAAGTTTCGACACACTTCAGTAGTAGCACTGCGTGTGAATATTGTAAATCCCAATTCAGGGCTCTGCAGTATGCCTAGGATTTGATGACATCTGGAGGATTTTGTTGTTGTTGTTTGTTTTCTTTTTATAGAGAACTATCATAGACGTGCCTGTTTTAGATTACATACTAAAAACAATCTCAGATTTCCTCATAGAGAAAAAGCCTTCAGATTTTTATATACTAGTTATGTACTAAAATAAGAATTTGTGTGTGTGATATATTTGTGTAGGTGTGCATGCTATGGTGCATATACAGAGGTTGCAGGGCAATTGGTTTTCACCTTTACAAGTGTCCAGGGAATTGAACATGGATTCTAAGTTGAACATGAACATCTTTGCCTGTAAGCCATCTCACTGGCTCTTATGTTGGCCTGTGACATGTTATCAGTGCTATGCTACTGCTGCATAAGGCCACGGGTAGCTGTGTCCTGCTCGCTACTATATCCCAGGGCCTAGTGTACTAGAACTAACACTTAGTAGCAACTCAGATACTCACGTCTTACTGACTAAATCTGTCTTCAAACCTAATAGCACACTTTGTGTGGAGCAGTGAGGGAGTAATGTGCTTTCTTTTTCTTTCACAGTTGTCCAAGTTAAGAGCTTTGAATCACTCCCCAATGTCGGATGCCTCTGTTAACTTTGACTACAAATCTCCATCACCATTCGATTGCAGTCCTGATCAGGGAGAGAACATCGAAGAAGCTGCCAATCATTGTCTGCCCCAGAAGGACTTCTATACTACTGAAGAGGAAGCTGACACCCTTTTTTCTAGGAAATTGACATCCCATAATGGGATGGAGGATAGTGGAGGCAGAGGTACTGGAGTAAAGAAAAAACGAAAGAAAAAGGAGCCAGGGGAGCAAGAGGGAACAAAGGGAAACAAGGACAGAGAGCCTAAGCCAAAGAGGAAACGAGAACCTAAAGAGCCGAAAGAACCCAGGAGGGCCAAGGAGCCGAAGAAAGCCAAGGAGCCCAAGGAGACAAAGCAGAAAGATGGTGTGAAGAAGCCCCGGAAGCCCCGGGAGGCCTCCAGTACCAAGGAGAGTAAAGAGAAGAGGAGCTGCACTGAGTATGGATCCAGGACAAAGTCCAAGAAGGCCAGGTGTGTGCTCTCCTCCTTGCCCTTGCCTTCATGGGGCTGCTTTCCTTTGCTGTTAGCCCAACCTCTAGGCCTGACTTGACTATACCTGTGCTGGCCCAAGCTTTGTACCTTATTGACATAACTTCTGGCATTAATGGCATATTTTCTAATTTCTAATTATTTTTTAATTCTAATGTCCAAAATCATACTTCAAAAACACTTTGCTTTTAGGAAATTCCAAGAATTGCTAACCTTCAGATTCCAGTGGTCCTTTTTAGTCTGTGTTCCTAATATTTAGCATTCTTCATATGGTATGCTTGTGTTCTTTATGTCCTGTTAGCAGTCAGCCAAAAATAAACCCTGTCTTACCTCCTGGTCATGTAATTTCTTTGTATTCAGTTTGGATTTAAAAGAATTTAAGCCAGGCAGTAGTGACATATGCCTTTAGTCCCAGCACTTCGGAAGTGGATCTGTTGAGTTTGAGGCCACAGATGTTACAGAGTGAGTTCCATGACAGCCAGGGCTAAACAGAGAAACCCTGTCTCCAAAAACAAATGAAGTAAACTACAACAACAATAACAGAGTTTAAATGTTAACTTGTCTAAAGTATATTGCATAGTAAGGACATCCTGGATCTGATAGCAAGGACACTGAGACAGCGGTAGAGAAGCAGAGAAGGCACAGCTGCAGGTATCAGTGGTTTGGTAGTCTGGCAGGGCCATGGGCAGACAGAACTCTATGTACAAGAGAACTGACTTTCCTCCCAGGCTCTACACTCTGTTGCAAGGCCACTTCTGATCTAATTTTCTAGTTCAATGTCTGGCACAGTCCCTGACCCTTCCGTAGCTGCTGGAGCAATGCTGAATAAATGAGGCCAGAGAAGAACATAATGGCTTGTGTAGGTCAGAGGCCTAGGTACAGACTCACCATATAGTGCGTAACAGGAGAGAACGTGTAGCAGCTACACTCCTCACACAGAGAAATTAATATTTGCTCTCTGAATACAATTGTAATGTCTGTTTCAAATTGTTTCTACATAGCATTGTATTTAGATTTTCTGAGGAATATAAACAAAAGAATGTATATGCCTTAACTCAATGAACTTGTTTCTGAAGTCTAAATACAGAGGAGAAGTATCTATCTCTCCTGTCAGACCATGAAGTCTTAGACATTGATGTGAATCTTGAGAACATAGCATAAAGATACTATCACATACCTGTCTTGGGTAGGGACACAGAGGTATGTTTTAGAAAGGATTTTAAGTGCAACTTCAAGTTTGCTTTGTGACCAGTTTCCTTTTCAGAAGGATAGTTTGTCAGGACCAGATAGATAATTCTTAATCCAAGCTTAAATGTTCTTCATGATATTCACTCCAAAAAGGATTTCCTTTCTATTTATCCAAGAGACTCGAGTGTAGAAGGGTTCTAGGGGTGTAGCTGCAGAATAGCTATAAAATACCGTCCACCCTAGGAGGCCAAGTAGGGCAGGTAAATCAGTGTTCAGACTAAGACCTTAGAGGCTTTACTTCTCATTTAACATTGGAGGATACTCTGATCTCCAATATGAGGTTAGGATGGCATAGTAATTTTTGCTTCTGCCAATCATTTCCCTTGTATATTGTTTTGGGGAGCTTCCTTTTTTTTTTCTAATAAAGGAATGTTTGAAGAAAGAAAGTCAGATTAACTTATTTTAGTCTTACAGAAAACTGCAGTGACTCGTGAGTGCTTGAGAATTGGGGTAGCTTGGGAAGCTGTCCTCTGTGGCTTGGAGGACATTACAGAGTATGTATCTGAACTCACCCATATTCTGGTGGTCTCTGATGTTCACATTTTATTGACTTGTCCTTAAAGTTCATATTGATATTATATAAGATATCAAACAAGTTAATATGTAAACATTGTTATAAATTCTATTTTAGGAAAAGAGGGAGTTGTTTCAGGAAACAAAATTGAATATCAACTGTAGAGGCAAAATCAAGATTCTCACTAATGAAGACCTTATAGCATTAAATGAAAGGAGTGTGGTTTTGATATAATTAAACTGAATAAATGAATGAGCTGGAGATGTTCTTGTCCTTTTGCAGGCTATTAACATAGAGGACAGTGAACTCTTGAGCTTTAGAAATCCAAGAGATGTCCCTTGGGAGGAGAATGGCAGGTAGAGAAGGATCATCATCTCTTTAGAAATATGGACCCAGGCTTTGTCTATACTTTAGGGCTGTATGCCATTAACTTGTAATAATACTTTTCTGTGTAGCCCAGATAGGGTTTTGGACTATTGACCCTTTGATTGCTTTTCTTTTGTATCTTTGTAAAATTATTTTAGTTTCCTTAACTAATGATTCCAGTCAACCAGTTTTTAGTTTTGAAAGCATATTGATTTTTTTTTTTTAAGCTGAGTAGTGGTGGTGCATGCCTTTAATCCCAGCCCTCAGGAGGAGAGGTGGGTGAATTTCTCTGAGTTTGAGGCTAGCCTAATGTACAGAGTGAGTTCCAGGACCAGCCAGAGCTATACAGAGAAACCTTGTCTCAAAAAACAAACAAATAAAAGTTAGTATTTAAGATGTGTGTGTGTGTGTGTGTGTGTGTGTGTGTGTGTGTGTGTGTGTGGTTTACTTTTGGAAATTGGCTCAAGTACTTGTTTTTATTTGAGCAGTTATTGATTTTAATCCTGGGTAGTACTTGATGGTTATAAATGATTCACTGGTTGCCTGGATTACTGCAGAAGCTTGGCCACTGATTTATAGACTTTCGGCCTCTTCTCCTTCATTCCTTATTACTACTACAACCCAGCCACTTTTTCTGAAGCATTGCTCTTGCCTTATTTATGCTGACAGTCAGTAATGTTACTGTTAAATCAAACCCTTTTTCCTCTGTCTGGATTCTAAATCAGCTGAGGAATAGCCAACAGAGATGGAGATGCAGTGATCAGCTTTATTATTGTATAAATTGGGTCAAAGAACTCACATTGCTTTGTGGTTGGAATCAGGGGTCAGGGAGGTCTCTAGTTAAAGAAATATGTTTCCAGTATTGTACCCTTTTGAAAAGTAAAGCATATTTTTCCCATGAAAATATAGGAACAGGAAAAGGGGATTTCTTCTTCAATTTGTTTATATTTGCATAAAAACTTCTGGTTGTTACAGTTGCCTTCAGAACAAACCTGTATTCCTTTTTTTGCTTACTCAAAAATTTGGAGGTCTGACCCCTTCTCATCTTTAATTCTGGAAACAACCTGCCAGCTAGATTGTTTTCATTAATCTTTTAGGGTACTGTTTTGTTGTTGTTGTTTGTTTGTTTGTTTTTGTTTTGTAAATTGCTCTTCCTGTTTCAGCTGTAATGTCCCTTTCCCCCAAATATCCTGACTCCTTTCCAATCCCAAGTCTAAATGCAAAACTCAGCTTTTCCGTGGAGCTTCCCCCAAATTAATGTGCTTGTGTGTCCCCTTCTGGACTTCTGTGGCACTTGGAGCCTCCATTATAAATTATAGGCTTTAGATCCCAGAAGACTGAAAAGGTTCTAGTTCAATCCTCTCATACTGCTTTCTTGGAACTAGAGCTCCACAGAGAAGTGGTTTGTCAGAACTCGTTCCCAATAAACTCGTTCCCCAATTCTTTGTCTTGCGTACTGTCTCTGTAGCAGGCCCTCTCAGTGGCTAACTTTGTTTTTGGTGTGTGTATGATTTGCTTATCTCAGTAAAAGTTAAGAGCCTGAGATCAGGACCACCGTACCTTTGTGTCCTTTATGTCCCCTGGGGCTGATCACCACAAAGAATTTTGTCAGACACAAGCACAATATTCTACATACTGAATTTAATTGCATTTAAGAACACTTCTCCCTCAAAATAAGATTTATGTAGGATACTTATGAACTCGTTAATATTTGGTAGTGTTTCTGCTTTATAATTAAAGATAGTTCTGAAATAAAGAGATAGCTCAGAGGTTAAAAGCCTCTACTCTCTATTCTTTCAGGGAATGCTAGTTCAGTTACAGGCAGCTCATAGCTGCTTGTAACTCCAGCTCCAGGGGATGTGACTCCCTCTTCTTTCATCCTTGGGCACTTTTGCTCAAATGCAGAGATAAACATACACATAATTTTAAAAATAAAAGTATTTAAGAAATAATAATAAAAGACAAATGACTTTTCCAGGACAACAGACTGATGAGCCTCATTGTTAGATCTTCAGGTTTCCATGACTAAGGTCAAAAATGAAAGTGGAAGAACCCTTGTTAAAAAAAATTTGTAGGAATTAGCCCCTTTTCCACAGACTCTCATTGTGCATACTCAATGGTATTCTTTGAAAGAATAAAATGGTTCCAACTCTTTTTTTTTCTCTTTAATGATTTCATTTGCTTTGAGATGCAGCAAGCAGCAGTTGAATGTGTCCTGGAGCTAAACAGTGACTGTAGTATCTAGTAACCTTTTCTGAGAGTGATATTAATAATGATTGATATTTAGGGCTTCTCAGGATAAGAATCCAAAACTCCAAAGTAAAGAAAGCCTTCTTTAAACAGAATTTTCCTCTTTTCTCCAGATTGTTTTGAGTGTTTTGTTGACCTCCTTAAGGATATAAAGCTTAAGCAAGAAAAACCCCTCCAGGAAGCTGAGTTTTGGCTTTGTCATTGACTCTGAAATTAAAATTTCATTTACTATAACTTGCTTATATTAATAATAATAATAATAGTTATTATTATTATTGTACTTATATTCTAAGGAGGATTAGGATTACTTTTGTAAGAAAATATACACAGGCATGTATGTACAGTTTTGCACACAGTGCTATACATATGTGAACACATGGAAAAAGCTATTGGATTCTGTTGAATCATGAAATTGATAAGAGATCTCCAGTTCCTTGGGGGAAGCCAGATTTTAGCAATTCAGAAAGGTTTCTTTAGAGAACAGTTCATGGTATAATAGATGCTGTCCTTAATGGCAGCTTTTGCACCTTACATTTATTTTCATGTCCCTGTGAACTTTTTTTTTCCTAAGAGACTTTCTCTGGAAGATGTCTGCTTCCTTTTG